GATACGTGAGCCCTGATTCCTGTGTGGTGTTGTCCTTGTTACAGAGACACTATCATTGTTGTTCACTGAGAGTTGCATCTGATTGCCAGAGGCATCATCACCATTTACAGGGGGCAGAGCTGGAATAGACACAGGAGTCTGACTAATCTGATTAAGAGAGTCACGAACCCTCTGTACATCATTAGACATGGATTGAAGGTCGTCTTTTGTGGACGACTCTAGAGATGAAATACGATTAGACAGGGAAGTCACCTCTGACTCGAGAGTTGACAGACGAGAGAAGAGGGACTTGATACAAAATGGACACACAAACGGGTATGAGGCTGCTAGTGATGGAGGCAAGCTGACACATTTGCAGTGTGACCATTTATTACATGATTCACATTCTACCATGTTACCAATGTCTTCCTGAGAGGAACAGACGCAATGGACCAGAGGAGAAGCATTGAGAGACTTAGCTGCCTTTTTAGTAGACTTATCTTTATCCTTCTGTTTGGTAGGAACCGTCTTGCGAGGCAGATCAGAGCCATTGGAGGCACGCCTGTCAGCCATCATGTGGTCCGTTTTGAGTGAAAGCTGTGTAACCGCTCTCTACACAGAGCAGAAAAGAGAAAACTGAAATATTATTATAGCTAACCAGGTATAATGGCTGGCTAAGTAAAGAATTAGCCAGCAGAACAACAATGAAGGAAGGAAAATCCAGCAGGAGAGAGAGAGAGTAACCTTATGCCGCCATGTGTCAATGGGCGTGGTAAGTATCTGCGGGATTTCGGTAAAATCAGTTTTTGGTACTAACAGATAGAGAAAAAAATTTCCTTTCCAGCGATATCCCATTTATGACAATGCACAATAAAACTTTGCAGTTAGGGACGCTGTTTGGACGATTGCTCTGGAATACAAGTACAGAGAAAAAGGCATTTTAAGTTATTTTCAATGTTTCCGTGTCACGCCCATTCACGAAGTAAATGTGACCACGCCCACCACGTAAACCACACCCAAATCAATTAATAAACGGGTAAAGAAGAAAGAAGTACTTGACAGCATTTTAACTTACTTTTCTTGTTTTTGGACATCTTAAGAGTGATCTAAAGCCCAGCCATGCATTGAGACATCAAATACAAGTAAGTTATTTCATTACAAAAGTTGTAGAGTTATTGCTATGTGTTCTAGTGCCAATAAAGTCCTTTTTGTGAACTGTAATAACATCATCTGGGTCATTTACATCCAGACATCGCTTCTGCTTGAGTTTACAGGTAATATTTTTATTTAGATTTTATTTAGAACTATAATTAAGGTTCCTACATTTAACATTAAAATAATTTATAGTTTTAGCACTTGCTGATGAATCCTATAAAAGATTATTGTTATTCTTATGTTTCATTATGTTCCTTTCCTTACTGTTGGACGAGGGGCTCCTCCTGTTCCTCCTTGGCCTCCCCCTCTACCTCCTTGGCCTCCTCCCCTCCCTCCTCTTCCACGCTTTCCACCTTTACCCCACCCTCCTCTGTGTTGCCTTCGCTTTTTCTAAGCAAAGGAAAAATTCTAGTGATTACTCATTTCAATAATGCTCTTTTGATACTTTAAATTTTTTTCCTTTGTCTCTCTCTGTCCCTGTCCCAGTCTCTTCTCCTGTCCCTGTCTCCTCGCCTGTCTCTGTCTCTTCTCCTGTCTCTGTTTCTTCTCCCATCTCCTCACTACTCCCCATCCTCTCCCTCCTGCCCTCTTCAATGAGTTCCAACTGCCCTAAATTACAATGGCATAAAGCCTTTAATTTACACTTAAAATTAAGTTTACTTCGGAGAGCAGGCCTGAACTGTTCCAAGTCTTTAGTTAAGAAATGTGAATTTAAAGTACACGTAATTCAACTATTGTTTAATTACCTAAGGGCCTTCCTTCTTTCTTGCCTATTTGTTGTAAATAGAACTAACTAAAATTGAATGCAAAATTACTTTTTAGCTTAATAGTCCTTCTCATAGCTACTTCACAACAAAAATTATCACACAATTACACATGTAAATAAACTTACTTAAGCCGTTTGATTCTATTAAAAACAATGTCATGTATAGTTGTATGTTTCACCTTTTAATCTTACCATTCTCCTTTTGACTATCTCCACCCTCCTCTTTGTCTCTGTCCCCCTTCTCCTCTGTCCTCTCTCCTCTGTCTCCTTTCGTCTCTTTCACCCTTACTTCATCTTTTTCTGCTATAAATACAATTATTTTTTGCCTTTAATGTACAACACAAACGTACATGTACCAACAACTTACCAAGTTCATCTACCAAAAACAAAAGGCATTATAGTTATCACTATAGGGTTACACATTCCCAACTTACCATCAGATGGATGGACCTCAATGAGGACATCCTCTATTGGGGCAGCCATTACTTTTTGATTTTGAACTTACAGTTTCAGGTGTCTTATTTTATATCCTAAAGGTCACAGGTGACACTTGGTGTTCTTTGATTGGCTGTGAATGATGCAATAACTTCTATTTCGGTATTCTCCTCCCACACATTTTTATCATCAGTCCTCTCACCTGTACAGATAAACACAAATCACCTGCATGATAACTTCGTGACTAACTTTCTCTCAGGCCTTCTTATTTGAGTTAGTAAGTTTTAAACAAAAATGAGTGTTTGTGTTTATGTTGACGTCTCACGCACATACTAGTTCCACACCTTTGTTTTAAAAAAGGGGATCCATAGTTTGTATGTCTTAGCGTTACAAACGAGTTCCTCTCCTTTAGGGGATCAATAGTTTGAATATTTGGCATTCAAACTAGTTCCACTTCTGTTTCAGGGGATCAATAGTCTGTTTGTTGTAGACAAACTAGTTCCTCTCCTGTTGAAAGGGGATCAATAGTATGTGCATTACACAAACTCATTTCTGTTATTCATTTACTGATTACATGAACAAGTTCTTCTATTATGACCAAATTGACCACAATTACCACATTTTCTTTGTGTTGCAGGTGGTTCTAGAGATTGCCTTGGAGAATGTGGTACTTCAATCTCCATTGCGAGGTCTGGTGGATCATCTACACCTGGAGTTGATTGTCGAGATGATCCTGTTAGTCGAGGTGCATCAG